AAGTGTGAGGAGGAAGGGGCTGACAGTCTAATTTTCTTAAAATATATATATTTTGTTTAGCCAAATTAGTTAACAAACATGAATGTTTGTTTAAGCAAATAACATATGCTGTAATGTTATTGTTTCAGTTGAATAAATCTATTTAAATTGGTATTATTAAGGTAATGATTATTTTTCTCCTTCCTAAATACAACAGAAAAGTTGTCCAAATATATTAAACTGGGGATAAAAAAACTAATATGAAAAGTTGATATTCTAAAAATCTTCATCTACTTGCATATTAAAGTTATACCAGCAAGAATTAGTCATTATGTAGAAAACTAGGATTTAAATCAAGCCTTACTGACTAGTGATTTAAATCGTGATTTAAATCAGTTTGATTTAAATCAAATCCACCCTGGCAAGGTGTACCTATAAAGTGGCCGGTGAGTGTTTATTTGGGGACTGCCCGGGTAGAGAGCCACTCATATTTAGATACAGCCCTGATGGGGAGCCAGTCATGTTTATAGACTGTCCTGGTAGAGAACCAGCCATATTTAGAAACTGCCAAGGTAGAGAGCTAATCATATTTAGAGTTTGTCCAGGTAGAGAGCCAGCCATATTTGGTGACTGCCTGATGGAAATCCAATCATAATTAAAGACTTTCATGGTATAGAGCCATTAATATTTAGAGTCTGCCCTGAAACAGAGCCAGTCATATTAAAGGCCACCATGGTGGAGATTCAGTCAAGACTATTCTGGTAGAGCACTAGTTATATTTAGAGACTGTCCTGGTGGGGAACCCATAATTAGAGACCGCCATGGTGGAAGCCAGTCATATTTCAAAACTGCCCTGTTAGAGCCAGTTAATTTTCGAGGCTGGTCGTAGGCCATTCTTATTTAGTGATTGTCCTGACAGAGAGCCATTCAAATTTAGGGTTTGCCTTGATGGACAGCCAGTCATATTTATGGATTGTCCTGGTAGAGATCCAGTCATATTTCAAAGACTGCTTTGGTAGAGAGACAGTCATATTTAGGGATTGTTGTGGTAGAGATCCAGTCATATTTCAAGACGGCTTTGGTAGATAGACGGTCATATATTTTGAGAGTGCCTGATAGAGAGCCAACCATAGTTAAAGACTGCCCTGGTAGAATGCCATTCATTGTTATATAAGTTCAATAGTTACAAAGAGTACTTTATTTGATCACATAGATCACAGGGAGGTTAAACAAGCACGGTGAAAAAACATATCAGACAAATAAAATCATTTAAAAGCACTTGGCGTCCTCATTTCTGGGTGGTTTTGGCACATAGGGAACCATATAAGGCAATGGGGTTTTCTAGCTATATGATCCTAGATTTCCATATAGTTCAATCTTGTATTTAGATTAGCCATATAGTAATTATGGTAATAAGCCTTATGGTAATTTTTCAAAGCCTCGTGCTCCAGCTCCATGCTAGGAAGGCACGAGGCTTTGAAAAATTACCATAAGGCTACTATTCCAGCAGTCCGCACATGGGCAATTCTAAATAAGAGCATATCTTCCACCGGTGGCAAGTTATTTTTTGCTTATTTGGCTCAGTTAGCGGCAGTCGATGTTTAGATTCATAGAGCTGATATGGAGTCCATATGGAATGCTATATGTGCCTAGTACCCCTGTTTTTTCAGGGAATTTTTTGGAAATCCTCTCTGGAAGAATATATATACTCTTGTCACACATGTGCTGTATGCTGTGATATAGTTATATCCTTAAGGAACCGCTTTACTATCTCAGTTTGAGCAATTTTTGGAAACCCTTCATTGGGTATATAGACTCAGGTATACCGTGCCTGCTATATATATAATATTTTTGAAATTTATGTATTGAGACTACCTGGTTTCCCACTCATATATACACTACTGAACAAGCAGAAAGGACCTGATCTCATTTCAAGTCGACGTGAAGTCCTCTTGATCTTCATTGATGGTAATATATACCTTTATTTTGTTGTTTTTTTTTATTATTCAGGGATTCTGCTTGATGTTTATGATCTATATATTTTTATATGTACTTCTAGAATCACCTGTTACTGTGGACTTTGTTTCACTTGGGGTGGTTACCCAGGAAGTCTCTACATTCATCATGCTGGTATGACAGCCAAATTACTGAGAAGGTAATGGAAGTATTAGTTCATCTTTGCATGGGGCAGCTCTGGTGCGATTTACAGTTGCAAGAAAAAGTATGTGAACTCCCCTTGGGATTACGTGGAGTTTTGCATGAATTGGGCATAAAATGTGCTCTGAACATTATCTAAGTCACAACAATAGAAGAACACAGTCTGCTGAACATAATACTACACAAACATTAGATGTTGCCATGGTTTAATTGCACATAACATGTAAACATTCACAGTGCAGGGAGGAAAAAGTATGTGAACCTTTGGACTTAATAACTGGTTGACCCTCTTTTGGCAGCAATAACCTCAACCAAACGTTTCCTGTAGTTGCAGATCAGACCTGCACAACGATCTGGAGTCATTTTGGACCACTCCTCTTCACAAAACTGTTTCAGTGTAGCAATATTCTTGGGATGTCTGGTGTGAATCGCTCTCTTAAGGTCATGCCACAGCATTTCAATTGTGTTGAGGTCAGGACTCTGACTGGGCCACTCCAGAAGGCGTATTCTGTGCTGTTGCAGCCATTGTTTTGTTGAATTACTTGTATGCTTTGGGTCATTGTCCTGTTGCATCACCCATCCTCTGCGGAGCTTCAGTTGGCGGACAGATGGTCGTACGTTTTCCTGCAAAATGTCTTGATAAACTCTGGAATTCATTTTCCCATCAATGACAACAATCCATCCAGGCCCTGAGGCAGCAAAGCAGCCCCAAACCATGATGCTCCCTCCGCCATGTTTCACAGTGGGGATGAGGTTTTGATGTTGGTGTGCTGTGCCTTTTTTTCTCCACACATAGTGTTGTGTGTTCTTCCCAAACAACTCAATCTTGGTTTCATCTGTCCACAGTATATTTTGCCAGTAGTGCTGTGAACATCCAGGTGCTCTTTTGCAAACTTCAAACGTGCTGCAATATTCTTTTTGGACAGCAATGGCTTCCTCCGTGGTGTTCTCCCATGTACTCCATTCTTGTTTAATGTTTTCCTTATTGTAGATGTGTCAGCAAAAATGTTAGCATGTGCCAGAGATTTCTGTAGGCCTTTAGCTGACACTCTGGGATTCTTCTTTACCTCATGCAGCATTCTGCGCTGTGCTCTTGCAGTCATTTTTACAGGACGACCACGCCTAGGGAGAGTAGCAACAGTGCTAAACTTTCTCCATTTGTAGACAGTCTGTCTTACCGTGGACACATGAACATCAAGGCTTTTGGAGAAACTTTTGTAACCCTTTCCAGCTTCATGCAAGTCAACAATTCTTGATGGTAGGTCTTCTGAGAGCTCTTTTCTGCGAGGCATGGTTCACATCAGACAGTGCTTCTTGAAACCAGTAAACCCAAAACAGGTGTGTGTTTTTTAAGGGCAGGACAGTTGTCAGCAACACATCCAATATCATCACACTGATTGGAGTCAAGGTTGGCTCACATCCTGGCTCCAATTAGCTCTGGGAGAAGTCATTAAGCTAGGCCTCACATACTTTTTCCTCCCTGCACTGTGAATGTTTACATGTTATGTGCAATTAAACCATGGCAAACATCTAATGTTTGTGTAGTATTATGTTCAGCAGACTGTGTTCTTCTATTGTTGTGACTTAGATGACGTTCAGAGCACATTTTATGCCCAATTCATGGAAAACTCTACGTAATCCCAAGGGGTTCACATACTTTTTCTTGCAACTGTATGTGCTATTTAAGTCTTTTATCACCATATCTTTTTGTTCTAGTTTCCATTCACCAGGAAGTTATTCTACATATCCTGGCTTATACCAAGAATACGTCTGAAGAATATATGGCTAATCTAAATACAAGATTGAACTATATGGAAATCTAGGATCATATAGCTAGAAAAACCCCATTGCCTTATATGGTTCCCTATGTGCCAAAAACTACCCAGAAATGAGGACGCCAAGTGCTTTTAAATGATTTTATTTGTCTGATATGTTCACCGTGCTTGTGTTTAACCTTCCTATGATCTATGTGATCAAATAAAGTACTCTTTGTAACTATTGAACTTATATTACTCCGCGTGGATCTTTAAGTAACCACTTTTCTTTTGGGTGGTGTTGCTCTTGTCACACTACCATATTTTTTATTATGCATTTCCCGGTTTATAAATCCACACTTCTACGATAAGTGAGTCGGAGATAGTATTAGGACACAAATTATCTGTGTTATTATAGGTGGCTCTTTTCTTTTCTATTTTTGTGACTGCCATTCATTGTTAGTCTGCCTTGATGGACAGCCAGTTATATTTAGAGACTGTTGTGGTTGAGCACCAATCATATTTAGAGACTGCTCTGGTTAAGAGACAAACAAAAAGCTGTTATTTCACTCAGCATTACAGCTATATCCAATTTATTATATTCATGTATTTAGTTTGAATGTTCCATAGTAACATTTTTGACTTCTGTAGAAAATACAGTAAACATTCTCAATCTGGGCATTGCTCCAGCCACATTCAGCGTGGTAAAATTCTCTAAATTAGTGAAATAGAGGGAACAATGAATTGCAGGATACACACTGTTTTACAGAATTATTTTGTATAATGCCTATAATGCACTAATTTTATGTTTCACAGTTACAATACATAATCCGTATCACTCATATTAACGTGAGCAAGCTTAAAGTGGAACTTTATTCAGAAAATTGAAGTGATTCTAAAGTCTCAAGGTTTTTTACCTTCATGTATTCTAAGCATGAAGGTAAAAAACCTGTGTGTAGCAGCACCCCCAGCTTCCCTAATACTTACCTGAGCCCCCTCTTGATCCAGCAATGTCTACAAGAGCCTCAGTTCTCCGGGGACTCTCACTCCTGATTGGCTGAGCCAGCAGCGGGAGGCATTGGCTCCTGCTGCTGTCAATCACAGCCAGTGAGCCAATCAGGAGGGGGCGGGGTGGGGCAGAGCCATGACTCTGTGTGTGAATGGACACATAGAGCCACTGCTCAGGAGCATGCCTGCTCCGGTGTCCCCATAACAAGCTGTTTGCTCTGGGGGCACCCGACAGGAGGGAGGGACCAGGAGTGCCGGCGGGGACCCAAGAAGAGGAGGATTGGGGCTGCTCTGGGGAAAACCATTACACAGAGTAAGTAAGTATAACATGTTTGTTATATTTAAGAAAAAAAAAAGAAGACTTTAGTATCACTTATAGGTCCTGTTAGATCACTTCACACTGGCCCTTTTTGCAGTTATAGATATTTAAAACATTAAAAATAAGTGCCTATACTGTTTAAAATCCAGTAATATATACTGTCTGACTTTGCTCTGCACATGTTTAGTTGCTCTCTGTTTTTCAGCACTGTGCCGAAAATGTAGAGGCCGATCTGCTGACAGCCTAAAGAATTAATGCTGCTCAGGGGCTCTGGGCTTCAGCAAAATGGCAGCCTCCAGCAAGAAGAAACAGGAACAATGCTGGAGGCAATTTTCAGCACACACTCATTTTGGTAGTATAATTATTAATGTGGAATGCATGTTCCTTACTAAAGAACATTATTTTTTTTATCAAATTGTTATGGGTAAAGTTCCGCTTTATGCAAGCCACAGGAGGAAGGAGAGAAAATAGCTCAATTTCCCCCATCAACAAGTTCAGAATTGATGGGAGAATAACTCCCACAGTGCTATTGTGTTCTGCCAACAGGTAGTCTTCCCTACTGGCAGAACACAATGATCACTGCTAGAGGTTATAACCACTGGCAGTGATCGCATGCAAACAATCCAACAGGCTGGTTGTACTGAAGTTGATTAATGGATTGACTTCAGTACAACCAGCCTGCCCATAGATGGATTCAGTCGTGGCTGGTCTCTGCTCAACTGGCTGAGATTCGATCCATCTATGGCCAGTTTTACTCTATGCATGTTCTGTGAGAAGCAAAGGATCAGTATAACATAACCGAGTCCCCCCATTAGATGCAAGGATTTACAGCTTTCTTAGTTTGTCTAATGTTATGAAAATCTATCAGAAGAAGGTGCCCCTTTAGATCCTACCTACAGTAATGTGACTGTGTCATTAGCTTTACAATGTTAAAGCTCACCTCCATCCAAAATATATATTTTAGACGCTGCTGGATGTCACATTATTAGCTGAGCCCTCAATACTATTTTATCTTGTTGGCTCCAAAGTTTCTTCTTTTTCTATAACTGCCTTAATTTGGAACACATTGTAAATAGTTTTCCATGAGGTGGGTGGGAGAGAGCAGTCATGAATTGGTTACAGCATGTTGAAAGGTTCATTTGCCCCCCTTTGGTCCCCTATAGAGTTCTACATGGTCGTTTCCCCTTAGGCCATAGTAGTTGGTCAATCAGCTTTTACCGGTAATGGCCCTAAAGTATGTATGTGTGTCTGTGCTTTTGGGTCTTAGAGTGTTAGCGCTTTTGGGAAACTAAAACGTTGCATGATATTTTTGTATCTGTATATAAATATAGGAAATGAATAATGTACATACAGTGTTTTTTTAGTAAAGTAGTGCAAGGAGCAAAGAACAATGCGTAGAACCCATAGCAGCCAAAGAGCATCCATCATGTAATTGACTTGGTAAAGGGAATTCTTATTAATTGCTGTGGATTCGTTCACTTTGCATTGAGTGATTTGTTCCTTGCAATGTTTGATGAGCAATCCAAATAGCTCTCATTAAAGTAGATCTAAGCCCAAAGCACTGAAATGTCATGAATGCATTATATGGAAATGTAATTTCAATAGTCATTTTTAATGTTTTTAAATCTGCAACTTCAATTAATATAATACCTGGCAATTCTGCTATGAAGATCTTTGTTAATGCACTTCCTCTTATGTGACAACACTGTCCGTGTCCCCCAATTGCTTGTCACCCTATCATATGCACTTTTGACAGAGACTATAAGCAGCCATGCTGACACATTGCACAAGCGTGTTCAGCTGTTGTTACCATCAGGAAGCCTCACTTTGGAGGGATTTTCTCCTGTTTTGACTGTTGGACAGGAAGTGAAGGAAAATCTCTTTATTAGGACACGGGGGCAAAAAAAAATGTCAGAGGTTATAATCCTCGCTTACAAAAATGAAAAAGTTATGCTTTTAGTTCTACTTTAATATTATTATTTGTTATTCTTTTTACGGGGATAAGGATTGGCATGTTCCATACCTCATATTAATGTTCACTGTGAGCCTCATGTATAAAAGTGATAGAAGAACAGTTCTTGTTTGCCATAGCAAGCAGATTTCCACATTTCTCTAGAACCATGAAGGGGGAATCTATTTGCCGAAGGTGAAAACTGTCTCTTCTGTGCACTTTTATGCGTGTAGCCCATTATTGATGGATTCCAGTGTGTATGTTGATGTGTTCTCTTGGTATTATGGACAGGGTGTGTCACAGCATGGGGAAGAGACGCTGTGTATCGACTGCAGAGAACAAGCCATCTTCAGGCTGCTGCGGAGTGAAGAAACCCAAACTGTGCCCTTCTCCAGCAGGCAGTGCCCAGCAGCCCCCAGCTCCTCATAACTGCCAGCCCCCTGAGGACAAGACGGTGGGCCCAGGTGCCCTCACCCCACTCTCCCGTCCCAACGGGACCACAAGCAGCAGGGAGCAGTTGGTGGTGACCGCTGAAATGGGCTGCTACTGCTTTGATGTTCTGTATTGTCACCTGCATGGCTTCCCACAGCCTCGTCTGCCACGTTTCACTAATGACCCCTAGTAAGTCTATCTGTAGCTTCTATCACCAGTGACCTCTAATATAGACAGTGTAGCTATCACTTTTTTTTATTTATTTGCCATACTGTATACTCCTGTGTCTTGACAATTTGAACAATACAGAAATGGCTTCTTGTTGAATGGAAAGGTAAACGCACACCAATGACATAAGTACATGTGGAAATTAAAAAGGTTGATCATTTTTTAGATAGAAAGTAAATGTCCTCCTTGTTAGCTAGAGATACTGACTAGCAGAAGACTTCTTATCCAGAAGTTCTTTATGCTTGACTCCATTATGGAGAAAATAAGCCTCAGAGCTGCTCAGCCTTCTACCCTATGTAGATCCAGCTCAAAAAGTCATGTCGGGTTTCCTAGTCTCTTCTTGAAAATGGAAAACCCTTACAAAAAATAACTTCAAACCAAACTCATTAGTCTTAAATCTATGAGAATCAATATTTACATGTGTCTTTTTGTTTTTGGATTTGTTGCCTTGCAGAAGAAGGGATTTATTTTAATTTTCCTTATTTAGTGCATTATATTAGTAAAAAAGACATTAAATGATTACACATTATAAAGAGTTTATATTTCTCTTTTATGGCAACCATCTTGAGGTGCACACAGGTGATGTTTGCTAATTTATGCAGCCGTTTAAAGGATAAGTTCACCTTTCAACAAAAAATAATTAATTTCCCTTTTTTAGGCAGGTACAAAAATGTGCATTTTTTGTTTTGGGAGCCTGTAAAGCATTGCACCAGCGATCAGCAGATCGCTGATTACATGCAGGTCTCCTGTGTATCTGCTTCCTGGTACCTCGTACGGGGAAGCCGATACTTACTGACAGAGAGACTCAATGAACTACCACAGCGCCATGATAATTCATTGAGGACTACAAGACGACAGTCGCAAAGGCTGCTGGGACTTGTAGTTTGCTCATTCACAGAATACTGTGATGAGTGATGCTGCCGGGCGAGCAGAGCCCTGCTCGGCCATGTTTTTTTTTTAAATTGTGACAGCTAGCGGGAAGAAGATCCCCTGCTAGCTGTCACAATGGGGAGCCATGAACATGGGTGGAACATGTTCTGAAAGGTGAACCTATTCTTTAATGTTGGATCAGGAAGCTGTGGCTAAGTTTATAATTAGGGCAAACCTTGCCACGCCTCAGAAAAGCTATCTGCAGTGGATTATTTTTTAGAGGAGTTTGACAGGCATTAAATAGGTGATATGTTGCTTCCTTACCCCTGCTTTAACTCCTTAAAGCCTACACGTGGTTGCAGGGCAGTTACACTGGTCAGTCATTTTCAGTTGAATGGGTTCTATGGCTGTCCTGCCTGCTGAATGCAACAAGGGGTTAAATGTTTGCTCATCTGTCTGATTTGACCACCTCAACTGCACGTATAAATGGACCTTTGTCTGTGAGCACTGTGCAACCTGGCCGCCATATCTGACAAATCACTATAATTCCCAGTGTCTGGCAAGAGTATAGTCACAAAAGGTGACAGGAGTAAAAGGTAAAAAGACTTATTGGGATTGAGTTACTAAAGGCAAATAGACTGTGCACTTTGCAAGTGCAGTTGCTCCAGACCTTAGTAAATGACGGGAAGCTTCACTTTGGAAAATACCCAATAACATCTAAGGAAAATAAAAAACAGCATTTTTGCTTGCACATGATTGAACGATGGTCAGCAGAGCTTCCCCTCATTTACGAAGCACTGGAGCAACTGCCCTTGCAAAGTACACAGTCATTTAGCCTTTAGTAAATCCACCCCATTGTCTTATTTCATATGTCTAAATTTATACTCGGTGACCAATAAAATGTTAACACTGTTCTATGTAAAGGTCCTCTTTTATCCTTGTGCTATGTCTAGTAGTAGTTAGTCTTATGCAACTGGACTTGTTCTGTAAGGTTGAAGAAGTTTTGTAGCTTATCCAAGCCACATCGTAGAACTAAAGCAGTGGCTTGGGTAAGCTCAAACTGTCTTTAACATTACAGAACACGTCCAGATGAAAGTGACTACGACTAGTATTATAAATATTGGCACCCCTGCATTTCTGTCAGATTATGCACTACTTCGCCCAGAAAATTGTTGCAGTTACAAATGTTTAGGCATTTTCATGTTTATTTCTATTGTTTGTATTGGTTTGACACAAAAAAGTGGAGAAACAAAAAGCCAAATCTGACACATTCCACACAAAAAATGGACTGGACAAAATTATTGGCATCCTCAATTTAATATTTGGTAGCACACCCTCTGGAAAAAAAAATAACTGAAATCAATTGCTTCCTGTAACCATCAATGAGTTTTTTACACCTTTCTACTGGAAGTTTGGATCACTCTTCTTTCACCAACTGCTCCAAGTCTCTCAGATTGGAAGGCTTCTTTTTCCCAACTGCTGTTTTGAGATCTCTCTGCAGGTGTTCTATGGGATGGAGATCTGGACTCATTGCTGGCCAGTTAAGTACTCTCCGGCGCTTTGTCTGAAACAGTTTTGGGTGCTTTTCAATGTGTGCTTTGGGTCATTGTAAGATCCATGACCTCTGAATGAGACCCAGCTTTCTGTCACTGGGCCCTGCATTCCATCCCAGAATTCATTGGTATTCTTCAGATTTCATAGTGCCATGCACACAGTTAAGGCATCCAGTGCGTGAAGCAGCAAAGCAACCCCAAACATCAGTGAAGCTCCGCCATGTTTGACTGTAGGGACTGTATTCTTTTCTTTAAAGGCCTTATTTCTTTTTCTGAAAACAGTAGAATGATGGGCTTTACCAAAAAGCTGTCATTTTGTTTCGTCTGTCATACAGCACATTCTCTCAAAAGGATTTTGGCTTCCTCAGGTAAATTTTGGGAAACTCCAATCTGGCATATTTATGTTTCTGTGTCAGCAGAGGGGTCCCCCTGGGTCTCCTACCATAGCATCCCTTTTCATTCAAATGGCAGTGTATAGTGTGAGCCGACAAAGTTGTACCCTGTGCCTGAAGGTCAGCTTGAATTTATCTGGCAGTTGATCGAGGTTCTTTATCCACCATTCCAACAATCCTTCGTTGGAATCTTTGATCAATTTTTTTTTTCTTTTTTCCATGTCCAGGGAGATTAGCTACAGTGCCAGGCTGTAGGTATTAGCTACAGGCTGTAAACGTCTTGACAATGTTGCGCACAGTGGACATAGGAACATTTAGATCTCTGGAGATGGACTTGTAACCTTGAGATTGTCCATGCTTTTCAACAATTTTTGTTCTCAAATCCTCAGACAATTCTTTGCTGCTCTTTCTCTTCTCCATGCTCCATGTGGCACACAGAGACGCACAACAGAAAGGTTGAGTCTTTTTTTCACCATTTTAACTCGTTCCCAGTGTGATTTCTGTATTGTCAGTACCTGTTAATTGATACAGGTGAGTTTAATTACAAATTTACAGGACCATCACAAAGTTGGAATGCAATTATTTCTTATAATTTTGAGAACTTGCCAATGATTTTGTCCAGTCCATTATTGGGGTTTTGCGTGGAATATGTCAGATTTGACTTTTTGCTTCTCCGCTTTATTTTGTGTCATACCAATACAAAGAAAATAAACATGAGAATGCCCAATCATTTGTTATTGCAACAATGTTCTGGGTGAAGTGGTGTATTATGTGACAGAAATGCAGGGGTGCCAATATTTTTGGCCATGACTGTATATTTTTTATATCTGGAACTGCTTCATCTGGGATCTGCAGCTGTAACTTCATTGTGTCACCTACTTTGCACTGAGAGTGGGCTTTCCAGGAAAGCAGCTACATACACTGTTGATTCTAATAGTTGAAGTTATTCTACATGAACTCTCTTATCAGCCAAATGCTTAGTAATTCTATTTAGCCAATTTTGTGATCTAGTCACCCTTGCCAAGACAGCACAGCTAAGACCCTTGTCCTCTAGGGCATTTAAGCTGTGCAGCCTGATTCAGAACCCACCCCCAGTCTGCTGAATGATACATAGTAGCATTAATTACTGTTTTTATATCTGCCTGGATTTCAGCTTTTAAATGTTTTGCTATAGAAAAAACAATCCCTCTGGGTGAACAATGTGCATTATATGGACTTTAGCAAGTTTTTTGAACTTTCTCTTTTTTCTCAAGAAATTGCCCTTGACACGTCTTTTTTTTTTTAAAACTCTTTTCTGCTGAATGGAAAGGGCTGTCTACATTAAAAGTACATGAACAATCTCAATTTCCAAGAAAAGGAACAATTTCTGCATCCCATTAGGTGTAGATGAGCTTTAGAAAGTATCTCACCAAATATTAAACTTGTTGCAGGGGATGCCTATAACTGACTTGTAGCTCAGAGCAATCATCTAAATGAGACAATCACCCAAGCAGGAAATTAGATTTCTGCATACATACCATGTACATAAAGCTTCCCATATTGGGGGCAAGCAACATCTGAGTTTTTTATTATTACGTTTGTATTTTTTGGCAAAATATTTATATATGTCCTTCTAATGAAATGTATAGTTTTTTTCTTTTTAATGTAAATAAGATTATCAATATTTGCTAAAGTTTTAAATGTGTTTTTATGTATAATTTTGGATACACATACTTATATGTTTTATGGGAGCAGCCATATTTGCTTTTTACATATGCAGGCTCTGCTTGCTGTTTTTCAGTGCTGCACCATGGTTTGCATTACTGCTTTTTCTTAGGCCCCTTTCACACTAGCAGTCCGATCGGGTACGCCTGTCCGTTTTTTCAGGTGGACCCAATCAGACCCTTCATTCTCCTTTATGGAGCAGACGGTGTAAACGGACATGGGGTATCCCTTCCCCTCTGTCTAGGTGAATCAGATGGCATGCAGTCCATTTACATCCGACCACCCATTGAGGAAAATTGGGCTGCGTCTGTGTCCGCTCTGCATAAGCAGAGTGGACACAGACCAGTCATCTGCATGCTCAGTGGGGGATCAACGGACAGAAACTCTGCTGAGCAAGTGGATTCCTGGTAGTCAGTTGACTCATTGAGCACAATGTACTCTCTGGGTGGCTAATATCTGAACAGGCAGTGCAATTGTTGTGCAGGGTAATTACCCAAAGCATTTGCAATAGGAGCAGCAATAGCCATACCTGACTATAAAGCTGGGCATACATGGGTCAGTTTTTTTTGCTCAGCCAGCAGGCTGATCTAAAAAAGACTGAAGAGATTCCCCATCCACACAAGTGAGTTGGATTGAGGAATCCTCCACGCTGTGTTATTGTATTCTGATAACGGGGACTCTTCCACTGTCAGAATACACAGAGCAGCACTGTAACCAATTGGCTGCAGTACTGATCAGACAAATATTTTCCAAAAAGCCCATTTGTGAGAGGTCAATCATTAGACTGACTTCTCATGAATTGGAATGGCCAAAGATGGATGGTCCCTGCGGAACCGGTCAAATGTCAATCCATTTATGGCCAGCTTAAGTTATTAGAAAAGTGTCTTCTAGTTATGTAAATTCTTGTTGCAGTTGCTGGAAACTCAGGGTGCAGCATAACACCTTTGAGATGTAATACATTTGGGATGGAGTACCCACTCATCCTTGGACAGTTGCACAATCCACTGATGTCTTTGGGACTCTTTAATTCCAGGATGCTACAGGTCTCCTGCGGAATCACAGTTATGGAGCTCTTAGCTAAGTTAGAGGATCCAGCAAGATACTGAACGGGTTTTCAGTCTATATGATAGTTTTACAATGGTTTATATAATACACTGTTATTTAAACATTTATGCAGATATAAAACATGAACCTGTTTCATTTGTAATTTCTTGGATTTCATAAATTTACTTTGTGGATAATTTGCAGTGTTCTTTTGTTCACTTCTCTTATTTCTAGTCCGTTGTTTGTTACGTGGAAGGCGGGGCGTGATAAGCGTCTTCGTGGCTGTATCGGGACCTTTTCAGCCATGAATCTACACTCAGGTCTCAGGGAATACACCTTAACCAGGTACCAAAACTGCAACAGATTTCATTTATCAAGCTGGCCTTTAGCATAAAGTGGTCATTTCTTTAAGGGATATATTTAGGTTTATTTTAGGGATGCTGCTTATCATCCACTTATACAAGGCTATTATATGGCTAATTAATCACTAAACTGAAATTGTATTTTGCCCTACTTGCTGGAAGAGGTTAAACTATTGGAACTGGATTTCCAAAAAAAACTTGAGGAAAGCAAAGAGTAGATTGATAGCAGCCTTTTATGATTTCAATTGTCTTTTTTCAGTGGAGATTAGAAGAGAAAGATTATTCTGCCTGTTTGTAAAGAATAATGTGTCCATTTTTCTTTTACTTTTTACTTTTATTAATTTCCTGTTACATCTGATATCTTAAAGGGTATCTCTACTTTGTGCATTTCTTTTGTTTTCTTTTTATTCATTCCCACACTCCCCCATACCTAGATGTAGCAAGTGTTTCATAAGGCTCCAGCAGGATAACAGGGTAGCGGGAGAGTAAATGAAAGGTAAATAGCAGTGAGGGGGATGGCCTTTCTGTTGAACCTTGTTACTTTGTCCTAAATGCGTAACGTACAGGTTCTCTTTTAGAGCATGTGTAAACCTTAAATCGGAGTTCCACTCACTCTGTAAAAAAAAATAAAAGTCAGCAGCTATAAAAACTGTAGCTGCTGACATTTAAAAAACAGCTACTCACCTGTCCCACGATCCCGTGTTTCCCCCGCTGCAGCCCGTTTCACCGGCTGTCCTGTATTCCAGGTGCTGGCATCTTCAGTGTGGGCACACGGCTGTGACAGCTTCACAGCTGGGTGCCCACTGCATATTCACGAGTAGCACTGCGCTTCCTGAATGGCCCCGTCATCTTCTGGGACCTGTCACGTGTCCCACAAGACTTCGGTGAGGGAGGGTAGGAGGACAACTTCTGTTTCCGCTTAGGTGATCGCAGCGGAAGTGGCAGTGGGTACCTGTCAAATTCAGGTCCCCTTTCCCCCCCCGCTCCCCAAAGGTGCCAATCCTTAATGGGGAGCGGGGGACCAATCTTTAAAGAGGAACTTCCCCTTTTGGGTGGAACTCCGCTTTAAGTTAGGTGTGCCCCTAGAAGGGCAGTCAGTCATACAAGGATTAATTTACTACTCTCTAAAAAATGCTAATACTCATCTTGGCTAAGTGTTGTGTTAAGCTATTGAAGCGTATGAAAGGAGGAGGAGGAAGATGGTACATTCAGAAGCTGCAAGTGCTTCCTATCTCAGGGGTAAACGCAATACAAGGTTTCTCACCCATCCAATTGAGAGCTGTTGGCCAATATGCATCTGCCTGAACCCTATTAGCATCTCATATGTTTTATTGAAGTGCTTTTAATCCTTTGTGCTGCAACAAAATTATTTTTCTTGGTTGTACTATATTTTCCATTTAACAAACATGCACAGATTTCAAATGTCAGCTTCCATGGTCTAGCTGGAAATAACATGCTATGTTGATAAACTTATTGTTGTCAGCATTCAAAATAGCAGTGAAACCAGACACCTTCAATGCAGAATATTGTGAAATACATAAATTACTGTTGTTAACACACTCGGCCTACTGCTCCAAATGTATAAAATCTATTATGCATACTACAAATATAAATATTATTTCTGTGACATTGGTTTTTCATTCTGCAGTGCCCTTAAAGACAGCCGCTTTCCTCCACTAACCCGAGAGGAACTTCCCAAGCTGTCATGCTCCGTGTCTCTGCTCACCAACTTTGAAGATGTAGGCGACTTCTTGGATTGGGAGGTGAGTTATTTATTAAAAATAATCTATAAAGGTTTTAGTCAACTTTCTTTTAACCTTTTTGTTTGGATGAATGTAAGAAAGGAATGTAAGTGTCGGTACACCACAGCATCCATTGGACATTCTCTTCCAGTGGATGTTTATTACAATTAACACAATTCTATGTTCTAAATGTAGACAAATATATACAGTACAATGTTTACGTTTATATTTTTAGAGTTCATTCCCAAAGTCTTTACAATCGTTCATTAAATGTTTCTAGTCAAAACGGGTCAACTCTGTCTAGTTTTGTTAATTTTCCCATTCAGGTTGGAGTCCATGGAATCCGGATTGAGTTCCTAAATGAGAAAGGAGTAAAACGCACAGCCACCTACCTGCCAGAAGTAGCCAAGGAACAAGGTGTGTCTGTTTCAGTGTCTCTATCTTTGGTCAGTCAGATAATTACACGGTGTTGTACTGCAATTATAGGAACAGCCTAGACTGTGGACTGTTAAAGGAACAGCCCAGATGAGGGGTGCTCAACCCGTGGCCCTCGGAGCCCTCTGCCCTCAAACTGAATGCAGGAGTTTTGGTGCATAGTTACATAGTTAGTCTGGCTGAAAAAAGACAAACGTCCATCCAGTTCAAGCATAGAAAAAAAAAAAAGTTATAATCCTATACCCACAGTTGATCCAGAGGAAGGCAAAAAAAACCCAGCAAAGCATGATCCAATTTGCACCTGCTGGGAAAAAAATTCTCATCCAATCGGATATTCCCTGGATCAACTTTACCTATAAATGTTAGCATCCAGTTATATTCTGTGTATCTAAGAAACAATCCAGGCCTTTTTTGAAGCAATCCACTGAGCTGGCCAGAGCCAACTCTTGAGGGAGTCTATTCCACATTTTCACAGCTCTCACTGTGAAGAAACCTTTCCATGTTTGGAGATTAGAGTTCTTTTCCTCCAGACATAGAGTGCCCCCTTGTCCTCTGTGATGAATAGCTCTACACCGTGTTCACTATATGAACCACTTATGTATTTAGACATGTTGATCATATCCCCCCCCCTTAATCTCCTTTTCTGAAGAGAGAATAAATTCAGTTCCTCTAATCTTTCCTCATAGCTGATCTCCTCCATGCCTCTTATCAGTTTGGTTGCCCTTCTCTTTACTTTCTCAAGTTCCCCAATGTTCTTATTGTGTTCTTTCAGAAAGTGCACCACACCCTCAATATATTACGGAAGTCTATGGCAAAGCGCAGCTAACCTGCAGGTGCGTTGCTCTGCACCTTGCGGGTAAACCACAGTGCATCATTGTGAAAACAGCCTTATGGGGGCTCAATACAGTAACAGCTTATTTACATTTGTGGTTTGGGTGGAAGTAAAAACCCATAGTTGAGATGTGTTTTAAACCCCCTCTCCCTAACCACTGATGTAGTATCAGGGGTCGCAGCGGTGACCCCACCACATGCTCCAGGGGTGCCCGTGCAGCCTCCCTGTCACATTCTGTTATAAAATTGGACAGGAGGGGCGACGGTGGCGGCATATACTGGAACGATCCTATCCATTTTCCTCCTGAAACCGCTGAAAGCCTCGTTCTCCTCCTCTTCTGCAGGCTGCAGGAGAAAAATGTTCATTATGCTATCATGTGGTGACCGGTTACCAAACCATGTAAGTGGTCCTCACTCTTCAAGAGGTTGAGCAACCTTGGCCTAGACTATGGGCTGTCACAGCATTACCTGCTATAGAAAACACGTAAGCCATCACCATTTCACCAGCAGGTCAGGGAATTATCTACAGTGGTGGAGTCAATATTTGCAATCAGAAAGGTAAAGAACAATAATATGGAGGAGAGTATTTTCAACTTTATGAAGTGAGCATGTCGGGAGAGTCTAAATATCTAACATCAGTTCATTTTTTCTAATCTTATTTAATTCAGGTCATCATCTGCAAAATGTAAAGACTACTAGCAAAGCTTTGTGCAACCAATCAGAATTAAACTTTTAACTGATCTAACTACAGATGCAATGGCTATGATATGCTTATAGCCGTTGAGCTTTGCTTTAATGACTATACCCATGGCTGTATATGAGTAAGGGTATTGGGTCTGTTATATGACACATGTTCTATGGCACACCATCTCTGTTAGCCCTATCTATAAAATAAATATGTAGAGCTGTGCCCATCCTTGTTCACACACAGTACATGGTAAAGCCTGGTTGGCTGCTAGGGGCAAGTGATCTGTTGCTTATTGTTTATGCACGAAGCCCCCCCTAGTAGAACTAAAGAAGGGAGAAGAAAGGAAACTGGAACAGATGTGAAATGTTTGCTCATATCAACCAGTCAGATTGCACAAATAATTGGACCAGTTACTGTGGGCAACAGTCCCATTTATTGTCTGTTTGTCTCTACATGTGTCCAGCCTTTGCACTTTCTGCAGAGTAGCATGTGCTTAGAGACTTTACATACACATTTAGATATTGTTTCAAAGATCATGATAACCTACATTTCTCTACCTATGGCACTTATTTGAGACTTCACTACAATTGTCACCATATGTTAAATTTTAGCAAATAACTGATTAGACTGGGTAATGAAATAATCAGTGGGAAACTTAGGAGTATCTACGGTATATGGCTCATTTTATTGTTGGTAATGCATGCTGGGAATTGGCAGTTTCTTGGCCTATGGGCATCTGCGAGTTACCTGTGGTTGGTGTATGCTTTTCTCTTGCTGGCTGAGGATCATAAGGAGAGAGCTTGCACACATCTGAAAATGGTAGAAACGACTGTAGTCAGTTTCATAGTGACTTTCATCATTTGAAGTTTCTTCATATCTTAACATGTATATGTGTTTCCCTAGACTGGGATCAGATTCAGACAATAGACTCTCTGCTCAGGAAAGGCGGCTTTAAAGCTCCTATTACTAATGAGTTTAGGAAAAGCATCAAACTTACAAGGTAAGTGTCTTTACCTGAAATCTATATGTTTACCTGTAACAGAGAATAATACATTCTCATTACATTCAAGGCATCTAAGGGTTGATTTACTAAAGGAAAATACACTGCACTGCAAGTGCAGTTACTCTTGATCTGAGTGGAAGCTCTGCTGATTTCTATCATCCAAAGATGTGCAAGCAAAAATGCTGTTTTTCCTTGCACGTGTTTAGGTATTCTTGGCAGAGTGAAGCTTTACTTCATTTACTAAGCTCTGGAGCCAGTGCACCGTATATTTGCCTTTAATAAATCAATCCCTTATGTTATTTCCCCATTTGTCATGTAACAATACTTTTCTGATTGTACAGTATGGGATACAGACTTCTAAGTCTTTACAACTGGGCTTTATGTAGCTACCATCAGGTGATTGAACACTGACAAATAAAACCTGTTGGGACATCCTCTATATAACCCCTCCCACTTAAGTTATAGACTTCTCTCTGGTGAGAGAAGCTTGTCTTCTCATATGGAGATTTTGTCAAAATTGTTTCTCTGTTTAACCTTCTCTCAAATTGGCTTCACCGTAGACACTGCAGCTTTTTATTGCAGTTTCCATATTGGTTGTCCCCTAGGCAGCACCCCAGTTTGTTATTTCCCCTTTGGAAGTTAGTTTTCCTGGCTGTGCTTACTGGTGGCGGCTCAGGGGTTAACACTGCATTGGCACCCTTTTTTGGCCAGGTGGTGCTGTTCTGGAGGTCACCTGTGGCAGCACTTTTGTACCGTTGGATATTGATATCATGCTGTAGGGCCTCACTTTCTGCCATAATGTCTGCGTTCATGTGCAGTATTTCAGGCCTTATTAAGGCCATGGGCAACAAGAGTTGCACACTCTTTGACGTCACTTTTGAACCTGATGAGGCTCCAGAAGAAGTGTATGCAGAAGCGGAAGATACTTCGGCAACAGACCACAGATTGGGAGGATGCATCCTGTGCTTAAGTCTATAAGTTGAATGAAATCATTTCCATGCTCATAGACACAGTACACTCTTGCTTGGCATTAGAACAGCCTGAATCTGTATACTTCAGGGTGTCCAGTATGGGATCTCTAAAAATCCCAATATATCTAAGACTTTTCCGGTCCACTCTCTCATTGAGCCTGTCTCATATGGAAACTGGTGTTAACTTGAGAAGCTGTTCTCTCTTCCCAAGTGATTTGCTCGAAGTATCTTATTGAGGAAAGTGTTTTTATGTAAGTGGGTTTTCCTGTGGTGGATCCTGCTACTTCTTACCTTAATAGGAAACTCACAGCCCCTGTAAAGGATGTTCATCTGCTCAAGGATTCAGTATATAAGAAGCTGAAGGTCCTCTTTAAAGTGACATTAAACAACGTCCTTATTCTCAAAAAAAATTACCTATACAAATCCAATGACCCTGTAATCTATTTTGTATGAAGTTGCTTCTTACTGTGTTTTTCTGCCTCCTTTTAATGTCCTCAGTGAGCTTCTGAACCACTCCTTCCCACCCCTAACTTCCATTTCTTTGGAACAAACCGTGCACATTGGCTGCAGTAATGTGCACTGCTCTGTATTCTACAATTCCCATAGTCCATCTCAGGAGCAAGCCAGAGAGGGTGGCTATATTCCTACATATCCCTGGCAGCACATGTATCAAGACAGCGGTGGATTTTTATTGACATACTACACTAGAAGTGAGAGGCCATTTCAAACTATGTATGAGGAACGTACTGTATGTCTCTCTTGGATGCTGGGTTTTTCCTCCTTATATCATTATTTCATCTGCAATTCACTAGATGCACTTTTTCCACTCCTATGTTGAGTGGAGGTGTATTTTGATACAACTGGTTCGAACATTACCCACCTTTTTGATTTGAGCCATATTTGACGTTGACGTTTATCCCATATATGTTTGCTTCTAGAGAACTGGTGAGATTGTGCCCATCTTTGCCTGTCAGTGGTCTTTGTATGTCACCCCACAGCCTAGATGAAAGTGGTGTTGGTGTATCATCTTTTTTTGGTTTTAGATGTTAAGAATACCTGTCGCACTTGAGTTTAACAATCTGAAGAAGCGGTTGTTACTGCGAAACACATAGTCATCATATTCAACAAGTGTAACTCTATACTATGATCAGTTTATTCTTTCTATTACATGAACTGTGTTTTTAATGTATTTTCAATAAAAAATTTTTGCAATATATATATATATATATTTTTTTTTTATAGAATCACGTTTGTAGAGTTCATTTTGCTATATACATATACCGGCAGGTCACCCTTGATTACCCTTCGTTTTTGTTTTTTGTGTTTTTCTCAACTACATTCCTACATACAGTGAGACCATGGATAACAAGCATAGCAGCCTTCTAACAGGAAGTCAGATCACAGCAGCAAAATAAAAAAAAAAGGAATTTGAGATTGAGAGGAGGTTGGGGGCAATGTGAAGAGTACTTTTTAAGTTAATAATACATAACTTATATAGAATTTTCTTTTTTTAAAAAAACCAGAGTTTAGTGTCACTTTAAAACCATATTTCTCTGGCTGGGCCCACCATGCAGCCTGTGGTTGCTTTCATGACTGTCTGTAAGATTAATTGTGGTCTGGGAAAATTGTAGGGCTTGAGAGACTAGTTCATTATGGATGCTTCTGTCCACAGTCGAATAGAATTGTTGCAAACAGCCTTACGATACTATGTAAATGCCTTGGCTAATTCTTGCTGTCAGCATTCCAGGATGAGCCTTCTTTTAAACCATGTGCGCAGAATTCTCTGGCTCAAAGGTTATGTTCAAACCTCTTTATGGTCTTGAAGCCCACTGGAGAATTTTGTCCAGTTCTCCAAGTTTTCCAAATTTCTCAATTTGTTCCTGCGGGTACAGAAATTTCACATGGAGAATGTGAGGTTGGTCATTGTCTCTTCTTAAGGGGTTAAACGCACCATAGCAGCACTCCCTCGCAGCTTCTGCCTAACTATTGAGGCTCTAACTAGTATCTGAAGCTAGGGGGTGCTGTGACGTCACCCCCTCTGTCATGTGACAGTGCTCGGATCTAGTGATTGGCTGCTAGATCTGCACTATGATATGGGGGATAATTACAGTCAAAAGGATGGCTGACAAGTTGACAATACTAGTGGAAGGGGTGCCCTTCATCTTTGTCTTAAATTAACAAGATGACAGTTTATTTTCAATATCTTCTTGATATGGCAGTCAAGGGACAGTGTTGACAGTGATTGTGGACAGTATATGGCAGACAATGTAGTACTGTGGCAAATAGGTTGCACAGAATGCCAAAGACCCTGAAACAAAAAAGTCATGGCAAGGCAGCAGTCAGGTGAACAGAGTTGACAAGCTATACAAAGCACAGTAGAAAACAGAATATATAGTACTGTATGCAGAAGATGGTAATGTGGAGAGCAGTGCAAACAGGCACAGGCAGAATTCAAGGTCTTATTTTCACAGTGAAAATAGACCTACAAAAAATAATACTGCAGAAACATAGGAGAAATCTTCAGAGAACATAGTTTATATGGTGGTGGAGGAGAGGCAACAGAGGATATAGTGTGGACATGGGGAGTATAGCTACCAGAGAATGTAGGGGAGAACTGTGGGGAGAACTACCAGAGATTGTAATGTGGACATGGAGAGCAGAGCTACCAGAGAATGTAGTTTGGACATGGAGAGGAGAGCCACCAGAGAATGTAGTATGGACATAGGAAGGAGAACCACCAGAGAATGTAGTGTGGACATGGAGAGGTGAGCTACCATAGAATGTAGTGTGGACATGGAGAGGAGAGGTACCAGAGAATGTAGTGTGTGCATGGGGAAAAGAGCTACCAGAGAATGTAATGTGGACATGGGGAGGAGACCTACCAGAGATTGTAATGTGGACATGGAGAGCAGAGCTACCAGAGAATGTATTGTTGACATAGGGAGGAGAGCCACCAGAGAATGTAGTGTGGACATGGAGAGGTGAGCTACCATAGAATGTAGTGTGGACATGGAGAGGTATCAGAGAATGTAGTGTGGGCATGGGGAGAAGAGCTACCAGAGAATGTAGTGTGGACATGGAGAGGTGAGCTACCATAGAATGTAGTGTGGACATGGGAAGGAGAGCTACCAGAGTAGACATGGGGAGGAGAGATACCAGAGAATGTAGTGTAGACATGGGGAGGAGAGCTACCCGATAATGTAGTGTGGACATGGAGAGGAGAGCTACCAGAGAATGTAGAGTGGACATGGGGAGGAGAGCTACCAGAGAATGTAGAGTGGACATAGAGAGGAGAGCTACTAGAGTAGACATGGGGAGGAGAGCTACCAGAGAATGCAGTGTAGACACGGGGAGAAGAGCTACCAGCGAATGTAATGTGGACATGGAGAGGAGAGATACCAGAGAATGTAGTGTGAACATGGAGAGGAGAGATACCAGAGAATGTAGTGTGGACATGGAGAGGAGAGATACCAAAGAATGTAGTGTGGACATGGAGAGGAGAGCTACCAGAGTAGACATGGGGAGGAGAGATACCAGAGAATGTAGTGTAGGCATGGGGAGGAGAGCTATGAGAGAATGTAGTGTGGACATTGAGAGGGGAGCTACCAGAGAATGTAGAGTGGACATGGAGAGGAGAGCTACCAGAGTAGACATGGGGAGGAGAGATACCAGAGGATGTAGTGTAGACATGGGGAGGAGAGCTACCAGAGAATGTAGTGTGGACATGGAGAAGAGAGCTACCAGAGAATGTAGAGTGGACATGGAGAGGAGAGCTACCAGAGTAGACATGGGGAGGAGAGATACCAGAGAATGTAGTGTAGACATGGGGAGGAGAGCTACCAGCGAATGTAATGTGGACATGGAGAGGAGAGATACCAGAGAATGTAGTGTGGACATGGAGAGGAGAGATACCAGAGAATGTAGTGTGGACATGGAGAAGAGAGCTACCAGAGAATGTAGTGTGAGCCCGGGAGAAGAGCTACCAGAGAATGCAGTGTGGACATGGAGATGAGAGCTACCAGAGAATGTA